GTTTGTAGGTGACCAAATACTTTTTCTTTTCCACCATTATTTGCAAAAAAATTCTTTAAAAGTCAGACGAAATGATTTTCTCAAAATTTTTTTCACATTTTGTCTCTCATAGTTGAGGTCTACCTATGATGTCAATTACAGGCCTCTCTCATCTTTTTAAGTGGGAGAACTTGCACAAGTGGTGACTGACTAAATACTTATTTTCCCCACTGTATTTGCATGTGAAGCAACAGGAAGTGATGTCAAACAGGAATGTCTGCATGTGAACGTTAAAAAGATGTCACCAATTATTTTGAGACAGATTACAATCATCCTATTTACAAGGTGTTAACATTTTTAAGACTTCTGACAGATTGATTTAAGACATTTTAAGGCTAATTAAGGCCTTAGTTTTGGATTGATGAATTCAAGGCCTTTTAAGACTTTTTAAAGATCTGCAGGAACCCTGAGTGTTGCAAAATCCAAATTCACTTTATTTTTTTCTCTTCACCATAAACAACAGGTTTTAAGGACAAACTTGTAAATTGGAGTTTAGCCTTAAAACAAAACAGTCTCAAGCTTCAACGGTTTTAAACTCAAAAAGGAATYGACAGTGACAATGTTGTTGGATGCTTTCATTTATAAGACATTTAGAATTGTTTTCTTTTTGAATAAGATGTGACGGGTTTCAGGAGAAGGGGAGGGTTAACAAAGTATAATTCTGCCCACTCCTTTTGAGCATATGAAAATTATTTGTAATGTTTCTGTGACCTTCTGTTGTGTTCAATAAAACTTATTCAAACAAAAAAAGAAAAGAAAAATGATACAGTTATAACATTTCATCACTGAGGATTTCATTAAGATGATTCGTAAAGTTTAAAAGTAATAATATTGGTAATGTTCAACTCACCATTTCCTGGATGTCCTGCTGTCTCTGTTGGTCATTCTGAGCAGCACCGGCCCGCTCTGCTCCTCCGAGGTCCTGCTGCTCYGCYCTGAAGGCAAACCAACGTGCCTGGTGCCTGAAAACAGGACGAGAATTCAAGGAAAACTTAAGAAAACTTCCTGACAAGGTATAATAAAATAGGAGCATATATTAGTGTTTCTGGACAAGACTGTGTACAAGTGTGTACTTGTACCATAGACTTAAATATCACTAGACTGAGTCCTGCCCATCCTGTACACTGGTAGCCTCTGTGACAGCATGGAGGAGCAGAAACAGAGACCTAACAGAGCAACAGCTCACAGC